TTAACCCATTACCATGTCACGATAAGCAACCAAAGGTTTGGGCCGACCGGTTACAAGTTTCAGCTGTCAAAAGCTGGTACTTGCCCGAAAGGCTAATACGAATAAACTGAGCAAAAAACAATGCAAGCCTAATAATAATATGGTTAAAAAGTGCTTTGTTACTCGTGTAGCCTAATTATTGAAGAATGTAGTAGAACACGTTGACGTGTAGCTGTATCATTACAGGGCTTAAAACCAGTTTACACAATGTTTAATGATTACTTAGGGGGTGATATGTTTGACGTGAATGTACAGCAATTCGTGAATGTCAAATGCTCATGGTGAATATTCGACACACGGAGATATTTACATTGCTTATACTGCCAATGGGGTTGTAAATGGTAGGAACAATATCGACCGACTTTATATGACCAACCATGTGATCACGGTCACTACAGTAATCAAAGCTAATCAGCAAAGTGGCTGATAACAACCAATAAGCAACCTTTAATTGAACTCCAATATATTATCTTGACCTTGGGATTGATACACAACGACTGTGCTTTGGAAATATTAGTCTGCGAAACCGAGCCCAGCAAACATGAGGTTTGAGGATATTTTACTAATTCTAGGCGAATTTGGCAAGTATCAGAAACTACAGTTCTTACTTGTTGGGTTGGCTTCAATGTGCACGGCCTGGCATGGTCTCGCCAACACCTTTCTTAGCGCGTCATCTGACCACTATTGTCGAGTGCACGAAAACCAGACATACCAAGAACACTCCCCGCTGAAGAACTGCACCATCCCGTACGAGATTGAGGATTCTAATGTAGAATGGTCAAAATGTGATCGTTACAACGTATCTGGCAGGGACTGTGCTAATCAAGACATTATAGAGTGTGATAATGGATGGGTATATGACTACAGCACTTATGAGAGAACAGTTGTACATGACGTAAGTGAAGCTTTATGAATTTGTTCGAGTATTGTCACAAAATAATACAGTTTAGTATTGCAACTTTATTACCCGATCCCTAATCGTATGGTCAGATCACACTACCACTATCACGATCAACAAACTGCTTCAGATGGTGTTAAAATGTCCAGTCGTCGTTGTTTAACAATTCTGTATTTTATATGATTGTGTTTTATCAGTGCATCGCATTATATCGCAATGAATCATTCAGACATACAGTTTGTTTAATACATGCATTAATTGCAGTTTGATCTTGTCTGTGAGAAAGATTGGATGAAACAACTTTCGAAGTCAATTTATCCTCTTGGTAGCCTATCAGGATCCATAGTTATTTCCCAACTTTCAGATAGGTGCGAATCGCAAAATTCTTTAATAAAAGCACTGAACATTTTATTTATTTAATACATTGAGTGAATCGCATTAAATAGATCCATCCAGCTGCTTCTCGTTCATGGGAATATTGCAAAACACAGTAGTAATATGAAGTTATTTTGTGAGTTGCAATTGATTATTTATAAAATAGGGCTGTGCAAACAAGTTGGCGGGTGTTACCTGTTTTATTTTATATAATGTAAATCAGAACTCAAAGCTAAATCAAATGCTTTGGGGGTATTCGTGTTTGCAAGATATTCAACTGAGAAATGATTTGACTGGCTTTTACAAATAGCGTTTGCATACGATTACAATTCTTTTCAGATTTGGACGTAGACCGCTATTTTTCTTCAGCCTGTGCTTCGCCATCTTTGTATCTATCATTATGGCATTCTCACCAGTCTATGCTGTGTTCGCTTTATGTCAGTTTCTAATTGGAATTGCAGTAACTGGTATATATGTTGTTGGATTTGTCATTGGTGAGTTTATCATTGATTAAGGAATGAGTTACTGTTGTATGCACAGTGATATGCCTTATGTATGACCCCCTCAATGTAACACAGCCTGGTACCTTCTGGGAGCTTTGTTGATCTATAATATTAACTCAATATAAGTGCTTATATTTCACTTGGAAGTGAATATATAAATAGTCTTTGATAATATATTTATACGCCTAGACAATACCAGGATGTGTCACGTTTTAAATAGTACAAATATTATGATTAAGACTCAAATGAATTAACCCTTATCTGGTCAAGTCAATGTAAAAGTACACGTAGCATGCAGGATATGTCTTAATTCATATATTTTTGACGCACTGCATGAATGCAGATTGTAGCGGTAAGCCAATTTCCATTCATAAATTAATTGAAAAATGAAACACATATATGAAGGACATGATAATTTAATTTTCACTGAAGGAGTGTATTTGAATCAGACATGCAAGGATCACGATTCTAGCCATTCGTGTGCGTGTCACTCCAGATAATGCAAGCCATGTGTATAGCATTGATGTGTAATGTAGTTGGGTTATATAGCTCATTTGGGTAGAGATGAGTTACACAGGAAAGTGGACGTAGACCCAGATACAGTAAACACCAAGTAGAGGAGTTGGTTGTTTTAGTATAAAACATGTTTTTCAACCAAGCCTAAACATAGCATGAATTACATACAGTAATCATGATTCTAAACGCGGTGATAACTTGATATCGAACCGCCTTTGAGAACACGCAAATAATGTCTTCATGCTTTGTAGTTTTGTAACAGTAACACAACATATAGGAGGTCAAAGGTTACTGGCATGTAAGCAAGATCTTTGACTGGCCTGCTCCGTGGGCTCCGGTGAAGTTTTACAGGTAATAAGTACAGGACAATTAAGCGAATCACTTTATCTGGGATGTAAAGTTCTGGTCGCCGGATGGAAGTGAGTTTTTGTTGAAATTATGCCGCCGAAGACCGTGAAAAGCAAGGTTTCCAAAACGAAACAACAAAATGTCTTACAGGGTTTTGCGACCCAAACATCACGTGACCAAGTTTCGGGAAAAATCGGAACACGAGAGCAAGGTGAAAGCGATGGTGAATCTCCCAATATGCATGACGAGGTCGATCAGGACTTCCAATCGTATATAAAAAATGCTCTTAGCAGAATTGAGAAGAAGGTGGACGCGCTTAATGAGGAACAACACGCTATAACTGAAAGATTTGAGAATATGGAGAGGAAGCAGGCGGATTTCGAGAGAGCGTTA